TTATTCACCGCAAAAGATTATTTTAAATTATAGAAAAGTAAAATCATTATTTGCCAACAAGAACTACGTTGAATTGAATATGAATTAAACAGCTGAGATATATTAGTACACATTGTTTACTAGTCTGTTGTCTAGCAACGATTTTAACCTAGATAGATTTGGCGTCTCCTTATTATTTACGTTGTTATGTTACATGTTCTTGTTTCTTATTAGAATCTTATATACATTTTATTTATTTTCTTTTTTGCCATAATTTAATTACAAAAATAATCCTTATGGTCTTATATACAGTTGCTAAATGTTATATATTGCATATTGTCATCATCAATGACAACCCCCTCACCCACTATTTGTCTTTTTTTTCTTTTTTTTTCTTTTTTGTTAATAGAGATTTAGTAGGAAAGACACTTAAAAAATAATCTAAAAATACAAAATTCGTCTATATTTTCTTTCATAATCAGATTTGAGCCTAAGTGAAGAAGTGTCGCACTACGTGCATTGACAATCAATGTAACATGTGTCTTACATCTCATAACACAAATATTTCATTTATCTATTTTATTTCCATCATTGTCTAGAAATAGAGATACGTAACGTAATATATATATAGGATGAATTAAAAATCTTTTTAAATTAACATGAAACTAATAGGTTGTATTAATTACTCAACAACCAAGTAGCTCGACTATATATTTATTTTTCGATTATATATATTAAATCGAAAAATATTTTTCGATTAAATTGACTTGGGAAATTGAATTCAACAGGTGAGAAAGCTTGAATTTTTGATAGCGGTATTGGTATTCATCATGGCTGCATGTTTTTTTGGTGAACTAAATTATGTGAAGCCTCCTGCAAAGGATGTAATGAAAGGAATGTTCATTCCTAAACTCAGTGGCAACGGTGCAACTGGTGATGCCATTGCACTATTGGGCGCCCTCGTCATGCCGTATGTATTAGAACTTTTTAAATAAGTTATCTATTAATTTGAAGTTATTTTTATCGAATTTCACTAAAAATTTTCTTTCTGAATTTTCAACAGGCATAATCTTTTCTTGCATTCAGCTCTTGTACTCTCTAGGAAAATACCAAATTCGGTTCGAGGCATCAATGTAAGTTGATTGTCGTATTTGATATTCAAACGTACGTGTAATAGACTACTTGTATTTCTCGATTATTTTTTTTGAAAGTAGCAATGGCTAAATGGTGGTTAGTTGACATCCCAAGGAGCTCATCCTGGCAAAACTTTTCTGTCGTTTTTTTCGTTATTGAAGTGATGTCACAACTCAGAAGTAATGTACTAAATTAATTAATGAATTTATGAAATTAAGGTAGACACGACACTGAATAATATGGCCCACAAACCATCACAACGAATATGAAAATGATGGAATTTTATTAAAAACTACCAAGCTGTGGGAAGGGGAAAAAAACCACTATTTTTTGTTTATTTTTAGTTGTCTCATACTACAGGGAATTAGATCTAAATTTTAGAGTGGATTATTAGGATCTGCTAGTATCACTTTGCCCTCCTCCCTCGCATCTCCTTGGTTGCTTGAGAGAGCAGCAAGTGACAGGGAGGGCAGGGCAGGGCGGGGCGGGGCGGGGGTGAAGAATAAGATGAACTAAAGAAGGAAAATAACATTTAATAAGAATGAATTAGACATTTTAAATCAACAGTTCATCAGCGATTTATTTATTACTTTGACTACAAAAGTTGGACCATCTCAAAAAAATA